AAGTATTAAGTTGTCTTCTTTCTTATTAATTCTTTGTGATGTGAAATGTATAAGAACTTCAGTGTACGCTTCTTTCTAACTAGCTATACTGATTAAAATATGGTTTGGGTTTTTTTTGCCTGTAACACTTTCTGAAAAGAAAGCTGTGCTTCCAAAAGACACACAGACCAGCAGGTTAAAGCGAGTGCCTCTCTGCAGCCATAAATTCTCATCTTTCATGTAAGGTATAAAATACTAGATGGACTATTTTCAGTAGGTTGATATCGTAAAAGCAATGACATTACGTTTGCTGTGCAGTATCAGAGACCTAGTCTTATGGTCTTGGAATTATTCCAATTTCTACAATCCTTTATCTGTTAAATCTGTGATGTTACAGGCTTGATGTTCCATTAAAAGTATTAAAAAATCTCCAAGCGGGTTAACTTTTTTTCCCTACATGGATGTAATAGTCATTCGTTTAAGAGATTCTTGGTTCATGTAATACCAAAATAATGTACAAGAATTAGAAGGCACTTTCAGTTACAAATATTTGTGCTTTATTTTCTACAGTATTATGGAAATTAATTGCACTTTACCTTAGAGGTTTTGAAGGCCATGATTATAGGCTTGTTGCAAAACCAGTTCTGAATTGAATTAAAAATAATGAATTTAGTATTGTCAGAAATGTGGTCATATGAAATCAATGTGCCTTCCATTCCAGTTTTTCTGGAATTATCTAGACTTTGCTTATGCCCCAGTGTATCTTGCAGAATATTAATGAATCTAAAAATAACTTCTGAAGTTTGCAGTGGGATCATGATTGGTGCAAGGTGATAGGAGATTCACTGCAGCATCTTGTACTTTTATCGCCCTGCATTAGTTTGTGGCAGCCCAGGTTTTTTTTTCTTTTTACCACTTATCAGGTGTTCCTAATCTGAGAGTCTAAGCAGCAAAAATAAATCGGTCTCATAAACATCTGACATGAAGTATTTCCACTTAGTGTGAATCACCCAGTTCAATGTGGTATTGCCCTGATTCTTGAAAGTAAAAATAAGCTCAAATCCAGTATTTTTCTTCTTTTGGGGTCTTCTTTTCCTACTTTTGATAACATTGTCATGGTAACTTCTGCGTTATCTTTTTTTTTTTTTTTTTAGCATGAGTTACCCAGGTCATTTCTGTCTCCCTCTCCCCCAAGTCCTGCTAGGAATGGCATGAGCAACTATTCCTTGGAGAGGCAAACCTGGAGCACTAAGGAAGTGCTCTGTGCTGGGAGGATCTTCCACCCTGATGGTCTGCGAGAAGATCAAGTGTAGCTTATGGTGTATTTTGACATGTAGCAGAGCAAAACCCAATACCTCTTAACCAGACAGCCCTTCAGGGCCTGCCAGCGATACCGGGGTGAGTCACATATGAATTGTGTGCACCAGGTGTCAAGGAGAGGTCCTCCGTAGAAAGGTTTGGAAGTGAGCAATAATAATAATAATGCTGAGGTGAGTTTATCGGGGTTTTTTTGTCAGGGTTTATTTTCCGCCATTGGGCAGTACAATAGCAAATTCCCACAGTAAAGAGTAAGTAAGAGAAGCCTACAGTGAAGGGAGGCTTCTGTGGTAGAGCTGGGCGGCATCATTGCAAAAATGACTTGAAGATGTGCTTTTTCCAAGGAAAATGCGTCCTTGCACCGTTTTAAAAAGTGTCTAATTTCCAATTTGAATTTTGGGTTAAGTTGGGGCTTTTTTAATTTCTTTTCTCTTGTCTTTTTTGGGATGGGGAGGGTGTTTGGAAATTTTTTTCTTTTTTTTCTTTTTTTTTTAATTAAGATTTGCATTTCTTTATCATGCAAGCCTCTAAGCAGGTCCAGCTAAACCTTGAAGGTAATGTCTTACTGTTTCTGTCCATGTTAGAGAAATAACTCTAACATGGAGCATGCTATTAATACCTTCTGGCAGTGGCCAGGGCACTGGCGTGACTGGGGTTATTTGCCAGCTTCCTTTTAACACTGGAGCCAGTGGGCTCCGCAGGCAGCTCGCTGTTGCTGCTTTAGAGCCACCTCTGCTCCCAGCAGTGCTGGTGTGTCGAGGAATGACTGAGGCCACCTTTAAATCTATCGACTTAAAAACCAGCCAAGTGACACTGATGGAGCACTGCTTAAAAAAGGTCTAAAGGACTTCGACTGGTTTGTAGTTTTTTATTCGTAAAGTTAAGGTGTGGTTATTACTGTCAGGTCTGCACTACCACTCTGCCAGTTCTCTAGGTTTCCTCACTGGCTAGTTCCAGACACTTTCTTTTCAACTACAGTTATAATCTTTTAGTGATCAAGAAATAAAAAAAAGGATAACTGAGAATGTGCAATTCTTGGTTGTGAGAATGGGAAGCTGGACTGTACCGGCACAGGCAAAACATGCTCTGGTGCTGAGCCGGCAAGGAGGAGAGCGCACCCAGAGGGAGCATCAGTACCTCTCTGTAAGGGTAGTATGGTATAAAATGGGAGCTGATAAGGTAGTTGGCCATTATTGATTTTCCTATTGAAATACTATTATACTTGTGACTTGGGATATTACTTACAGGGTAGTCCCTGCAGGTGTTTTACTAAAATAGTATTTAAATGTAATTAGCAAATTTGGAGGAGTTGGGAGAGTTGACATTTTCAGCTAAACCAGAAGATTTTTTGGTAATCCTAATTCATGCTGCTGAAGCGGGTTACATCAAAGCCCATGCATACGTTTTCTTTTACTCCAGATAAGCAGTGTCTTAATACATGTTTGCAAAAGTGGGGAAAAAAAAAATTATAGGCTATGAATTTACTCTGAAATCCGTATTTTGTCTTTTCTGTTTAATTAATACCTTGGAAACAAAGTGACATTTGGTTCTGCTTCTGGATGTTACTGGAGAAGATGAGTGTGCTTTGAATTCCCATGCATGTTTGCTATCCTGCTCGCTGCTGTGTGATGCAAGCTGACCGCAAGTTTGGGCTTGTGTGATGTCTTAGTGACTGGCTCCTTGTACCAAACCACACCAAGCAGCTTTCTCTGCAATTGTTTTATTTAACCCTCACTGGCTTTTCTGTTTGCAACCTAATTTGCTCATATTGTGAATTATAAGATGTTAATCTGGTGTTAATACATTGCTGATTTGACCCTAACCCTGCTGCTTTGATGTAAGCAAAGCCCGCAATTTCTTTAGTGCGCTTAGAATAACAGTCAAAGGCGTTTTCTAGATACGCGTTTACAGAGATAATTCTGTTTGAAAGAAGATGGTTGGTTAGCTTGTAACGTATGTGGCTTTATATATCCTTGTGTTTCTTCTGAACATAAGACGTATTATTCAGACATAGAAATCTGAAATCCTCCAAAGTAGGTTGTCATTCTATATATTTCGGTACTTCTTCCTGCTGCAAAGAATAAGTCTGTCCCAGCAAGATGCCTGGCACCTAATTTTGCAGCAGGAAGGTGCCCACAGCTGGATGCGCTTGCTGGGAAGTCGGCAGCGTCCACGGAGGTGTGGTGAAACCCTGCTGGGCTGGCAGGGGCGGCCTTATCTCTTCCCAGGCTCCTGCCGAGCTGCCACACATCTTACCGCAGATCAGAGTGGGTTGACTTGCCACACGTGAGCCAGATGCAATCTGCAGATGACTCCTGGCCCACCACCTCTTCTGCAGAGGAGACCAGGGCAGCTGCTGCTATATGTGGTTGTCTCCCGGCATATTACAGTAGAATATTATATCGGTTTGGAGGTATTCCCTGCTCGTTTTACTATCCAAACTAACATGAAATGCTGAGATGTTGACAGTCATGATTCTGGAGTCTTTATTTACCAGGGATGCACTTAATTACTTACATAAAATATACATGGTATTTTTCCTGGTTAACAGAGGAGGTAGGAGATTTGCTTGGCTGCAGAATATTCAGTGATCTGGAAGAAAAAGTGACATGGATTAGTGAATAATTAGTTATTTATTACTTAGCCATGAGGAACTCAGAAGTTGTTAAAAAGCAGCAAAATTCATTTCTATAGGAAATGTTATGCTAGAAATTTCTTTGATTCATTCTTTCACACATCCCACTGAGAAGTGGAGAAACAGGTTACTTTTTATTTTAATCACATATCATTGAATGGCTGGGCTTTGGCCCAAAGAAAAGGCAACACTTCTGAACTCTACTACTTTTGTTAATAACTTTTATTGAAATTCTGGCTTCCGCAATTCTTTTAATTAAATAAAAACCCTCCCTAAGTAAAGCACTTTGCTTACCGCAGTATGAAAACTGTTAATAAGGATAACAAGGTTTCCTTGCTAGCAAGCAAATGCAAACTGCAGATGTAAAACCGTTTTATCAGCTAGTCCTTTCCAAAACCACTTAATGTCTTTGTTGACCAAAAAAATTGGGAAGGCTGAAAATTAATGTGGGTTCTTAATCACAATGAAAGGTACCAGGATGTTTGAAGACAAGCTGGGTTTCTGGTGACATTACAGATTTAGTTTTTACTTATGCAAGGGGCAGCTAAATCTTTAAAACATCTTAATCTAATGCAAAACCTAAGCCAGGAAAATAAAATTATCTTCCAGAGCAATGAAATTACATTGAATCCCAACCTCTGCGTAGCAAATGACTGCGTTGCCTGTACCAAAAGGATAAGACCTAAAAACCCACAATACTCCCATTGCTCCAGGAAGCAGCTGTGTAGGTACAGAAGTCCATGTCTGTACCTGGCTGGCTGGCTGGCTGTGTTTGCACACAGGCATCAGAAGCTGATGCTTTTTCACTATCTGAAGAGTTTGCTTTCCTGGTAATTTAAGATTGGATAATTCCTTTACAAAGAGCCGTAAATGATCTTACAAGCACTACATCAAGTTGAGAAGGCTTTTATGCATGTGCCTGGTGCGTTGGCTGGTGGCTGCCTGTCATGGGGTGTTGTTGAGGTTTCTTCTTCCGTCCTGGTCACTCAGGACAAGGTCTGTGGGTCCCAGTTCATAGTGTTTCTGCTCTTCCACTTCCACATGATCTGAAGGAGTTCTTCTCCTGCGGGCCCCTCTTGGCAGTGGCACCCGTAGCCCGGTGACCTCTGGGACCCAAGATCAAGCAGCTGTGAGTGGGCTTGTTCGCATGGGATGTGGACCCTGCACTCGCGCCGGGCATGTCTGAAACCCACGGAGGTGAGGATGGGCACACAGCATCGCCTGTATTCTCTTTGCATAGGGTTTCAAAATGCGACTGCTTTTTATATGAAATAGTATCTAACCAGACAAACCCTGCATTTCTCTGTCTCAGTTCTTTGAACACCATAGGAGTGCTCCCTGTGTGTAGGTGGAGTTGGCTCCCTCTTCCTTTGCATGTGACACCTCCACTGAACCATGGAGACCTGCTCTCCTGGTAGTCAGCCAGCTCTCAGCTTGGCAGCACTTCTCTGATTTAATGGAAGAAAGCCCCATGTCCTCTGAACCCACCTGGGTTGTGGGTTGTTAAGGCTGTCGTCAACACCTTGGTGTCTTTGTTCAGTTGCTGAGCAATTTTTGTTTCCTACCCCTTGGCAGGGGGTTCTCCTTACCTCTCTCAAAGCTTTGTTCGAGGTGTTTCCACCTGGGTGGGCAACTATTTGTACGCAGCAACCTTCACTGTCCTTGGGCCAGTGAGCATGAGGCATGGCATCCCACTGATTGCACTCATACCAGCGTCTCCCTCATGACCACCGTTTGCTAACAAAGCTGACTTCCTAACTTCTGCGTCGGGAGATGCCCCAAGCCACCACCCCGGCCCGTGGAATAAGCCTTAGTCAAGACACTTTGTATCAAAGCAAATTTACCACCAGCTTACGTTGCAGTCCTGGCAGTGACCAAGTTCCCTGAATGCTGAGTGGTCTCTGAATCAAGTGGAAATGAATATGAATAAAATTATATGTGAATTCAGAGGGTGTTATTTTTGTTTTTCCAATATAATGGCTACAACTTAAAAATACTAGATGTATCAGAGTTGCTGGGAACCATTTTAAGTAGCTGGTCAAACTGATGCAATAGAGAACAATTGTATTTTTTTAGGTTTTGAATGTGTGAGGATTGGTTTTCTAAAAATACATGTTTTTTTAAGTGTAGCTACTGAGATACAGAAAGTTGTGCTTCTCTTAGTCCCTCATATAAATATTTTTGCAGCGCTCTCTTGTTCCTGAAAAAGAAAAAAACCTAGAAGACCTAATTCATGGCTGCGGGAGTTTGTGTTTCTTGGATGTTTGTTTTGCAGCTCCTTTTTATAGCCCAGGGTCAGGAGGGAAATGGGAGGAGGGGTGGGAAAGCATGTGTCGAGAAAACCAAGACGGTCGCAGGACATGAGCTTCGAGCATCAAGCTTGGCTTTCCAACCTGAAGGTGGGGATACATGTGCCGTTTCCATTGCACACAGACATGCTCTAATGACCCCGCTTGTTGCGCATACACGTGCCTTTTTCCAAAGACTGCATCCATCTCCGTGAAGGGCTGAAGTCCACATTTCGGTCTGGTAGGCAAGTGTGCTGTGCTGCAGGGCTTTGAGGCACTGCTACTCATGCTTCAGGTATGAAACATTCACCACAGCAGGTCCCCATCTGGTGAAGGGGCTCATGGTACCATCATTGCGTGTTTGGTGGCTTCGGATAAGTGAGTGTTTGGTAGCCTGTTGATGTTCTTGTTTGTTAGCTTCTGGGTTTATTTTTAATAAGCGACTCATTCCATTTTGGGTTTGCTTAACTACGAGACGTCCAAGTGGGCTGAAAATTTCTGTAACAATAGGAAGTATCAAAAGGGATGCCTTGTTTCTTGCTGAGAAGGAGCAGAGACACCAAATTTGTCCTGCTCCTGGAGGACACCTTAGGGGAGCGACGTGAAGTTTTAATTTCGCAGCTCCATCTTCTTTTTTCTTCCTTTTTTTCCTCCTTCTTTGGAACTTTGTAGAGGATATAAACTAATGAAGCATTAAATAAAACTGATTTAATTTATATTGCATACTCACCAATTCTGAGCAGCCTGATTTACAGCCCTCTCGGTCCATGTGAGAGTGTGATAACTATTTAGATACCATCCAATCCACATAGGAAAGTTTAGCTGCTTTATAGATAAAAAGTATGCTTTATGAGTACACTTACACTTGTATAAAGTGGCATGCAGAGTCTTAGTGTAATCCAAGAATGTCCTTTTGCTCAATTTACATTCCTTTTAACTGACAAAACCTGAAGAGGGGAAAAAAAAAAGCCTCCTCATGCCTTAGGCTCATGCAAAAACATCTCCACCAGAGCTGAGACCTTCAGTCTTCTCCTGTCTGCTCACATTCACCATGTGATTAAGCCGTAAAATCAGCTTATGAAGATCTTCAAGGCTTCATGGGCAGACCCTGGCCTGAGGAAGTCTGTTGATGGGCTCACGTGACTTGAGGTGCACAGTTGTGGCTGGAAAGCCACAGAAGTCAACAGGAGTTTGGCCTTGGAGTTCATCCTGTCGAGGACTATGACCTAGGGCTGCATAGCATGGTGCCGCCACTCATTCCCTAAAAGGTCAAGACAGAAATCAGCCTCGTGCTGAGGAAAGAGAGGTCAGGTTACGGAGAGAGGATGTTTTCAGATGTTGTCTGTGAAACAAGACTTGTAATGTGTTACAGATACTGGGATGATTTTAGGTTGGTGAGAAAAGCTTCTGATTCTGCAGTAGCTCTTCTGTGAAAGCGAGCTCAAACTTTTTCTGGTCAGGTCTGGGAAAACAAGGATGCTAAAACTGGGGGGATTTAGCTGGGGGAGCTGAAGCAGTTGCAGCAGTTGCACCAGTTGGGCTGACGCTGCCCGTTTCTGCTCATTTCAGTGGAGAATGGTTTACTCCAGCACAGGGGTCTGTGATCTGGTTTCAGCACAATGCTTCACAGAGCCTCAGGGGTTAACTAACGGATTGCTTGAGATTTGACTTTTCCAGTGCTTCCTAATCAAGGAATGTATAGAGAGATATTTCAAGGTTTCGTTCCGGCTTTCTTATGCAATCTCCTGCAAACACATCTTCTTCAGGCAGATCTGACCTAGATTTTTCTCAGTGCACTCCTAATCAGACAGGAAAATACAAGAAAGCCCACTGCCAAATGGAGTTAAGCTGTCAAATTCCTCACCAATCATTTTCTTTCTGCACAGTGACCAGCTGTAATTGTGCTTTGCTGTAATTATGCTTGCAGAGGTATTTTATACAAGGTATTTTCCATAAGATGTGTTGATAACCATTGTCAAGGACAAGAAAAACTGTGTGAGAGAGCACTTGCTTCCAAGTCCTAGATTTCATATCTGTGTTGTTATTGATCCCGAATGTTTAATGCTACTTCTGTGATGTTTTGGAATGTGCTAAGTAATATTATAGAGATGAACAATTCATTTAAAAAGAAAAAACCACAACCTACAGTAATAGTTTCCAATAGGATGCTGTTTATGAGCATAATTGCTTGCTCAGGCAAAGGCCTTTCCTAATAGTCATCTGTATATTCTACATGGTATGTATTTAGTTACATGACTATTACTGAACTTTACTGATACTTCATTCAGTCAAAGTTCTCCTTAATTCTATGAAAACTTTTCTAATCAGAAGCACCTGCATACTAAATACATAACTTGATTTCTGCATCTTGGTCTGTTGGCTGATTTGGTCGTTAGCAGATAAGATAATAAACATTTCATAAAGACTGACTCATCCAGTGGAGCTACGGTAAGTGACTTACCAGCACCTAAGTACCAGCATTAGGGAAGAGACAGTGATATTTGAAGACAAGAAAATGTTTAAAGTGCACGCTGCTCTCATTGTATGAGGTCTTCCTTCTTAGAAAGTTTCAAGTTTTAAGGTTTAAATCATAGAATCATAGAATAGTTTGGCTTGGAAGGCACCTCTAAAGGTCATCTAGTCCAACCCCTGTGCTGTGGGCAGGGGCATCTTCAACTAGATCAGGTTGCCCAGAG